TTTAAGTAAGAAATAATACCAATTCTCTACACTCTCTTTCAGAAGATAGAAGCATAGGGAATATTTTTTTTACTTATTCTATGAGACCAGCATTACCCTAATACCAAAACCAGACAAAGACATTACAAAAAACCTAATATTTCTCATGAACATAGATGTAAAAATCCTCAACAAAATATTAGCAAATTTAATTCAACAATAATGTATGAAAAGAATTATACACTACAGCCAGTGGGATTTATTCCGGGTATGTAAGAAAAAGCTCTTGCCAAAATCCCATGCTCATTCAAGATAAAAACTCTCAGTAAAATAGTAATAGAAAAATAAACAAATAGATAAATGAAACAGAATAAAGACCTTGCAATAGACCCACATAAATATAGTCAACGGATCTTTGAAAAAGGAGCAAAGGCAATACGATGGAGTAAACACAGTCTCTTCAACAAATGTTGCTGGAAAAAATGAGACATCCACAAGCAAAAAAATGAATCTAGACACAGATCATACACACTTCACAAAAATTAACTGATAATGGGTCATATACATAAATATAAAATGCAAAACTATAAAACTCCTATAAGATAACATAGAGAAGAAAACCTAAAAGGCCTTGGATATGGCGATGTCTTTTTGAACACTACACCAAAGCAATAATCCACGAAAGAAATACATGACAAACTGACTTTGTTAAAATTAAAAACTTCTGTACTGTGAAAGACAATATAAAGAGAATGAGAAGACAAGCCACAAACTGGGAGAAAATACTTGCAAAAGATACATCTCATAAAGGACTGCTAATCCAAAATATACAAGGAACTCTTAAAATTCAACAATAAGAAAACAAACAACTCAATTAAAAAATGGGCCAAACACCTCAACAGACACCTCACCAAAGAAACTACACAGGTGGCAAATGAGCATACGAAAAAATGTTCCACATTATCTCAACAGGGAAATGCAAATCAGAGCAACAATGAGATACCACTACACAACTACTGAACGGCCAAAATCCAGAACACTGACAACACTGAATGCTGGTGACGATGTAGAGAAATAGGAACTTTCATTCATTTTTGGTGGGAATGCAAAATGTACAGCCACTTTGGAAGACAGTTTGGTGGTTTATTACAAAAGTAAACATACTCTTACCATACAATCCAATAATTGTGCTCATTGATATTTACATGAGGGAACTGAAAATATATTTCAACACAAACACCTGCACACAGAGTTTATAACAGCTTTTTCATAATTGCCAAACCTTGGAAGCAACCTTTAATAGGCGAATGAATAAACTGTAGTACATACAGACAATGGACTATGACTGAGTGCTAAAAAGAAATGAGCTATCAGCCCATGAAAAGACATGGAAGAACCTCAACTGCATATTACCAAGTGAAAGAGCCAATATGAAAAGGCTACATACATATTTAATCATTTCAACTATATGACATTCTGGAAAAAACAAAACTATGGAGGTTATAAAAAGATCAGTGGTTGAGAGTGATAAATAGGCAGATAACAGAGGATTTAGGGGAAGTGAATAGACTCTGTATGACTTTATAATGATGGATATATGTCATTATATATTAGTCCAAACTTATAAAATCTACAACCCCAACAGTGAACCCTAAGGTAAACTAGGGACTTTGGGTAATGATGACGTGTCAATATAGGTTCATCTTTAGTTAAAAAAAAGTCCATTCTGGTGTGCGATGTTGATAGTGGGACAGGCCTTGCATTTGTGGGGGCAAGGGCTATGCGAGAAATCTCTGTATTTCCCTCTCAATTTTGTTGTAAACTTAAAACTGCTCTAAAAAAATAAATTCTTAAATAAAAGAATTTGTAGACATGAAACCAAAAGCATGACCTATTAAAAAATTGATGAATTGGACTTCATTAAAATTAAAAACTTGCCTCTCTGAAAGAATTATTAAAAGGATGAAAAGACAAGCTATAGATGAAAAGACAAATATAGACATATTCGTAAACCATATTTCTCACAACAGACTCAAATGTAGAATATATGGGGGGAAAAAACCTCCCAGAACTCAACAGTAAAAAATCAAACAATTTGATTGGAAAATACGCAAAAGACATAAAAAGATATCTCACTGAAAGTGATATACAGATGGCAAATAAGCATGAAAAGATGTTCAACATCATTAACCATTAGAGAAATGCAAATTAAAATTACAGTGAAATATCACTATACACTTATCAGGACAGCTAAAATAAAATAAAAAAGTGACACTACCTAATGGTGGTCAAGATGCAGAGAAACTGTCATTTGTATATTGCTGGTAGGGATATAAAATGGTACAGACACTTTGGGAAACAGTGTGGCAGTTTCTTAAAAGCTAAACATGCAACTACCAAATAACTCAGCAATTGCACTCCTGGGCATTTATTCCAGAAAAATGAAAACTCACATTCACACAAAAATTTATACACAATTGCTCATAGAAGGTTTATTTATAATAGCACCAAACTATAACCCCAAATGACCTTCATTAAACAACTTCCCACTCTCCCAGCCCTTAGCAACCACCATTCTACTTTCTGTCTCTAAGAATTTAACTACTCTAGGTATCTTATGTAATGTCCTCAAGTTCCATCCATGTCATTGCAGATGGGAGACAGAGATGCTCTTTGTATTTCCTGGAATGACTTCCTTTTTCTTTTCTCTTAGTGTTGAGTAAAATTATTTAAAAACATTAGTCTCTCCAGACTGTGATAAAGAGTCATCAAAGAAGAGAGGTAAACATTCCAACTGCTGCAGCTGAAATTAGAGACATCTCAAGAAAAATGTGAAATCAGTAAGTAGGGTCTTCCCAAAGTGGAATCTTCTTCTTAAACTCATATATATCAGGAATGTGGCAGATTCCATGTTTAGATAATAGGAACAATTATAATTATTGTTATACCCTAAGCAAATAATAGTGCTACCACTGCACAGGTTATGAGCCACTCATTTAATTCTCACAACACTCTAAAGGTAGACACTACGTCTAGTCTATAAATGAGGCAACAAACTCAGAGAAGGGAAGTGACTAGCTCAAGTCATACTGCTCAGGCTCAACCTCAGGCCTGTTGGGGTTCCAAAATCTGTCTCATCGCAAGTCTTCCCTTGGTCCAGGTTCTTTAAGCTGAACCGTTTAAGCTGAACCATAGGTTTCTTTTCTTTGTGAGTTCAGAAGCAGAGACCCTGAATAACAACAACTTTGAGGCAACAGCTCCTCTAAGATGCCACAGTTCTGGAGCTCCATCTTGGTCTACAAACATCTGTAAAACTTTATTATAATTTCTGCCTGTTTGAATTTTAATGTTCTCAAAATGTGGTTTCTAGTTACCGTTAGAGTTGGCAGCACAATAGAAAAGGGGACTTTCCTTTCCCATGTTTGCTAGAGCAGTCTGTCTGGGCCACAGCCCCATTATGACTTCTCATTAAGGAAGAAGAAAGAGATGGGTGAACAGATGATTTACTTACTGACAGCAGGAAACAGTACCAGATACGTGTGCAGAGAGCAACCATATTTTTCCTCTGAAAAATCTTGCACCCTGAACTAGTTATTTCAAAAAGTTCCCAGTGCCCATAAGGGCAATTACACATCATCTTAATGTGAAACTTTTCAAAAATTATTTTTCAACCACTGATGTACTTTTGAAAGAGAAAAAACAGCCATACTGTCCTTAAAAACAAAAGTTACGGATTACACATCCACTAAGGCATCTTATTAAACTTATTTAAAAACCTCTGTAGTTTTGAAAATAGCGCAGGAGACGATTTAGGGGGTAATTTAGTGGGTTTCTTTCCCCCAGAGAACATCTGAGAACATTTTCTATAATAATAAAGAGTAAAGTACATGCAGTTGTGTAAACCGCAAATGCTCCACCAACCAGTACGTGAGTGAAAGAGATCGCTAGTTTGAAAGAAAGACCTTTTTGGTATCTTCCACCTAAACCATTTCCCCACTCCCCCACTCCCCCATTCCGCATGCTCGCTGGAGATCAAGTAATGTGCTCCCAGAGTGTGGCATGGGGCAATTCTTGTACACAACGTTTCTATTGGGAGACATTATCTATCTCAAATGAGTGTAAAAAGAACGTATGTACACTACGTGCGCTGCAAATTCGGAGGGGAAGTCTGTCATCGCTTTCATTTTTTTTTTTTTTTTTTTTCCCCAGCAGAGGAATTCGGAAAGCGCAGGCTCGGACACGTAGCAGAGTTGTTCAGAGTTGAGAGGGGTAGGGGAGGAGGCCGCTCACCAACAAAACTGGACGCGGGCCCCAGGCAGAAGGCGGGAAGGGATGAATTAAAGGGGATTCCGAGGTTCTGGAGAACCCTAGGAAAAAAAGAGAGAGAAAACAAACAGCTCCGACGCGGGTCTACCTGTTGCAAGAGCAGCAGTTACACAGCGCCAAGGAAAAGAGGCAGAGCAGGGAGCTCGCTGAGCGCGGAGGGACGCGCCCGCGGAGGGAGCATCGGGGAGAGCAGGACTGCTATAGGCCCCGCGCTTCTCCTACTTTAACGCCCGGAAATCACGCGAGGATCTCGTTAAAACGCAAATTCTCATCCCCTAGGTCGAGGGTGTGTCCTAGGAGTTGCCTTTTGAACAAGCTCGCAGGTATTACAGCTATAGCAAGTCCGCGGACCAAACTTCGAGTAGCAAGGGATTTGCTCACTGCGATGAAGAAATTGCGAGTTAGAGGAAAAGGGGGCTTTCTGAAGCGGGGGCAACGATAGAAACAAACTAGATGGGCAGGGATGGGAATGAAAACTGGTCAGATGAAGGACTACGGTCTCGAAGCCTTTATTCCAAGTAGGGTTTCTGGAGGGGAAGTGGAGAAAGGAGGCGCTCTCCCTCTGGCTCTAGAAAAAAACGTCGCGAGGGATAGGTCAGGGGCTTTGGGCAAAAGGCAGGAGCCGCGCACCTGGAGGCAGATAGGCAGCTGGACCGACGCCGGGGCCAAGGAGGCCCGGGTCGGCCTGCCCTTACCTGCGCACACCCTGGTCCATGTAGACGTTGAGGAAGAGTCCCTCCCTTTTGTCCTGGTATACCGGGCCGGAGAAGCTGAGCTGCAGCTCATAGAGACTCCCGGGCTGCAGAGCCTCGCGGAGCTCCAGCACCATGTACTCCATCTCCAAGGCGAACCACACGTCCTCCACCGGCACGTGGCCCACGGTGGCGTCTCCAGTGCCCGAGGACAGAGGACCCCGCACCTCAGCTCTCTCACAGTCCAGGAAGAGGCTGTGCAGCAGCAGCCGCGCAGTGGCCACCGCACAGCGCACTGTGATGTTCACGCGGCCAGTGAAGCTCAACGCCGGAGCTGAGAGCTCATCTGGCTTCAGCCGCGGCCACAGCTCCAGCTCGTAGTGCAGTGGCACGAGCCAACGCGGCAGGCGCAGCTGGTCCCAGGGCCCGAAGGGTCGCCCCTTGCCCAGGGTGGCCGTCACCGCCGGCTCAAGAGTGGGGTCCGACTGCCGAGTCGGCGGCGACTCCTTCTGCTCGCCGGGCGGGGAAGGCGCGGCGTCCTGGTCCCCGCCGTGGTGAAGCTCCGACGGCGCGACACGCGCGCAGCGGCCATACAGAGCGGCGAGCACTGCCAGCGCCAGCAGGAGTGCGGCAGCCAGCCCGGCCAGCAGCAGGGCTGCCGCGCGGCTCACGTAGAAGCCAGAGCTGGATGGGGGCCCCATGGCCTGGACCCCAGATGGGGGTGAGGCACGAACCCGGAGACAGCGGTGGCGGCGGCTCAGAACCTCGGTCCGGGTGCTCAGGGACGGGACCTACCTCTCTTTTACCTTCTCTCTTCCTCCTCGAGAAGCTGGGAGACAAGACAGAGAAGATTTGGACCACGACTTCCCCCTCCCACCTAATCAGATCCAGGTCCCTGCCTTCCCACCCCGCCCGCCAGAGCCCAGAGAAGAGGCGGATCCGGCGCACCCAAGCGCGCGCCTCGCAGAAGAGGCTTCTAGAGTCGGTGCGGGGAGGGGACAGTCGGAACAAACTCGGATTTGGAAACCTCCGACGGAGATACTGGATTCAGGGGATTTGTCTCGGTGCAGTTCAGGAGTTGTCGGAAAAGAGACAGGTACAGAGCATCCTCAGCTCCTTGACTGCAGTGATGAGCTGCCGGTAGCACACCTGCTGGCCACCATCGGTTATACCTGCGCTGGAGGGCGTGATGGAGGCTTAAGGACCTGGACTTGAGAGGACGCGCTCTGAAATGACCCTGCGATAGACAACTGCAGTGTCAAAACTAACTTCCGGAGCCAAATCTTTGGCGCGAAATTCGCCTCCTGAATAAGCTCGAAACTCAGGCTGCCCGGGCAGCGAGTGTGCTGATGAAAACAAGGTCTGGCGTCCAGGAGTCTTTTCCGAGATGGGGAAGGAGCGCTGGAGGAAGGGGCGACAAAAAGCCAGGGAGCGCGGCATCAGCATCCCCCCGGCGAAGGAACGGGAAGGGTCGCTTTACCTTGGGACCCCGCGGGAAGCCGCCGCTTAGCTCCGCAGCTCCCGGGGACTGGGTATCCAAACCTGGAGCGGGGTCAGGCTTTTCTCTCCCCTGCTCGGGGAAAGGGAAATACTGCTCTCCAAACCGACTTTTTCAAGCAAAGAGAATAAGACGGTCCCGTGGACACCTTTTCCACTCGGAAAGTGAGGGGCTGGAACTCGTCTCCCAGGCGATGCTCTCTAATCAGCCCTTGGCATGCGGGCATCTGTTTGCTATTCAGTAATGCTCCTGGGAGAGTCCCCCCGCCTGTGGCCGAGTTCCGAATCTGCACGCGCTCTTGGATGAGTTGGGCATGAGGCCCAAGTACTTAGGACGCACTGCAGAAGAGGCAGGAGAGGGTGGTTGAAGATCCTGTGGCCAAAGATTTATTTGAGCATATCCGTCATTAAACTCCAGTTTTTTCAGAACAGAGAATTTTTTCGTCACAACCATAAAACAATCTTCACTTTCCTGCTTTGAACTGTATCTCCCTTCCAATGAGGAAACCCTTCCACCTGAGTTCAGACAGGATAAACCCAGGTGATTCTCCTGGGAAACGTGATTTTCCCTGCTCCTCGAACTGAAATTATTCACATTAACCACAACAGCAGCAGCAGCAGCAGCAGCAAACCTCTGGAATAAGAGAAGGAAGGGGACTTGACGCCAAGCTCACCAACGGGGTTGTGCTGTAATCTGTGGACTAGTCTCCTGATTTCAGTTTTGACTTGCCTCCTTCAGAAATGAAACAATTATGTATAAAAGTGCTTATGACGACATGGATCACTCTCAGAAGATCCTGGATAGAGCCGAGGGAGGACACTCTTCCTCAATTTCTCCCTGTAAAACCTACCGGCAAGTCAGGCTGCCAGACTGTGAGCTGCTAAGTTAGCAGGGGTCTCTCTGAGTTTAGGTCATTGTCAGGTGGGGATTGTCGCAGATTCAGTGCTAATTAATTATTGTCCTTACCACCCCCCTGGACAATTTTTTGAAGAATTTTGAAGGATTCCACACTCCCAGGAAAGATTTATTGGAATGAAAAAAAGAGAGAAAGAGAGAGAGAGAGAGAGAGGGAGGGAGGGAGGGAGGGAGGGAGGGAGGGAGGGAGGGAGGGAGGGAGGGAGGGAGGGAGGGAGGGAGGGAGGGAGGGAGGGAGGGAGGGAGGGAGGGAGGGAGGGAGGGAGGGAGGGAGGGAGGGAGGGAGGGAGGGAGGGAGGGAGGGAGGGAGGGAGGGAGGGAGGGAGGGAGGAAGGAAGGAAGGAAGGAAAGGAAGGAAGGAAGAAAAAGGAAAAGAGTCAATAACAGAATTACTACAAATTCATATTCCTCCTTCTCCTCAATTTTAAATAAGAAGTTCTACTGAAAAGTGAGTATGTGGATGAGTATTTAATTCCACTTCTCTAAAGAAATAGAGATTGACCACCACACATAAGGTTTCAAAGTAATAAAATTGTACCGAATGATTCAGCGATTTAAATATCTTATTAAAGGGAAAATATTTGTGATGAATTATTAATGTCATTTAAAAGAAGTTGCAAATAATATACTGACTGAGTCATGCTCATGTTAATAAAAAAGCTGGAAAATACTATTATATGAACTATTCGAAAATACTATTATATGAAATACATTTCAATGCCAGAGTAGTTCCAGGAAATAGGTCAGTTGCTAGAAAAACACTAACTAAAACTTAAAAAAAAATTTTTTTAATGAGCTACTCAGAAAATCTACTTACTATTCACATCAGCCAAAGCAGTGATTCTTAACTGGGATAACTTTTGGTGTCTCCCTCCCCTGGCAATCGTTGGAGATATTTTTGATTGTCACAACTTTGGGAGGGGAGTGCTACTGGTATCTAGTGGGCAGAGGCCAGGGATACTGCTAAACATCCTACAATGCACAGAACAGCCCCCAACAACAAAGAAATATCCCACTCAAAATGTCATCAATCTACTGTTCAGAAATCCTAACCTAAAGCAATAATCCAAGCTTTTCATATGCTACCCAAATGAAACTTCACCTTTACATCTTGTATCACTATTTACTTTTGTTATTTATGGTTATGCTTTGTCATGGCTATTATTTTTCCATCTTTATTTCTTGGTATTTATTTTGAACTTCTTTAATGCTTTAGTATCCCCCTTAGGCCACGTGATAATTTTTCTTTTTATCTTCACTTTGAAAAATTAATTTTTTTGAATAATATATTTATAAGGTTTAAAATAAAAAATATGAAAATTTATATGTTGAATTATCTTGCTTCCACCACTTCCACAGTTAATAATTTTTAATATTTTTGTGTATCCTTTCAGTGTTTATTTATGCAAATCAAGCAAATACAATTACGTACTCTTGTATTTCTCTTACACAAAAAAATAGTATACTAAAATGTAATTCTGCACCTTACATATTTATTTAACAATACATCTTAAATATCAGTTCACATTCTTTTTTACAGCTGCATATTATTAAATTGTATGGATATACCATTGCAAAAATTTTCCCAGTTTGATTATTTGAAAGGATTCACCAGATTATGCCATAGAGTATCTTCACATAGGCTCTTATTTAAAGGCAAAGAATACGGTGCCACAAGAGAAAGAATAAGGGCAAGTATTCCAGGTCAGAGAGACACCCCATGTGCAAGCTCCCCAAGGACCCTTATTTGCATAAATCGACTGTGCTGTGTCACCAGCTTGAACTACCCAGGATTGTGAAAGAATCTTGTTTATGGAAAGCTCATGGAGAAACTCTTCCAGAGGCCCTTTAAATAACCAAGCCAGGTTTGTCAGACCCATAAATTCAATTGCAAATTATCAGTAAAGAAATTAACCCTAGAGGGTCTCCAGGGAGACTTTCAGACCTTAATCAGCACATCATAAATCGATCAAGAATTCAAAACCAGATATCCAGAAGTAAGGCAAAGTAAGGACCACTGAAAATCCTCTTCTACATGAAAGCAATGTAAACACTGGAAAAATTGTCAGAATTAACTATTTCATAACTCTGGAAAGTAACCAAAAGTAACCTTGCAGCAATCCAGGAAGTATTTACTCAAGAAAAACAGCCAAACCTCAGTAAAAAACACTGAGCTTTATGTCATTTTAACTTGTTTTATTCTCATTTATTTTCATTTCCCTCTTCTCAACTCTGCAGTAGACTTTAAAATCAACAGCCTGCTAGCATGGTGAAAACCAGCAACCTGGCAGCCACTAGAAGGAGCATAAAAGTCTCAAAGTCCCTTTAAAGCCTAATGGTCAGAGAATTGTCATTATTTGAACTATCTGGTGATTCCCTGGGAAACTCTACTCTCACGGCTCTCTTTGACCTAATTCAGAGTTCACCCAGTGTGAACAGCCTTTCCTCGGGGACATTGGTTGAAACAATCATAGGCAATTGTTTAACATTGCAACTACCTGAGATGAGGGAACACTTGAGGCAAATATTAAGCTCATCATAAAGCTTAAAGGGGAAAGCTCAGGAATTAGATATCTATAGGGAGCTTTGAAAAGCTCCAACATATTCCTGAAAATCTAGAAGGCCACATACATGCATGGGGCTATGCACAAGACTGAGGCTGTACACATGCTCAGAAAAGACCCGAGAAGGCCCTACGCTTCCACATCTGGCTAATCTTGAGGCATTGCTCAAGCCAAAAGATTTCAAATCAGTAACCTAACTTTACACCTTAAGGAATTAGAAAAGTAAGAGCAAACTAAACTCAAAGATAGGAGATGATAAAGATTAAAGTGGAGATAAATAAAATAGAGTCTAGAAAAACAACAGAGAAAATTAATGAAATCAAAAGTTGGTTCTTGGAAAAGAGAAACAAAAATGACAACCCTTTAACTATACTGACAAAGGGAAAAAAAGATGCAAATAACTATAATCGGAAATGAAAGTGGGGACACCATTATCAACTTAACAGAGAGAAAAAGGATTATAGCGGAATAATATAAACAATTATATGCCAACTAATTAGTTAACCCAAAAGAAGAAGACAAATTCTCTAAAACATGCAAATATCTAAACTAATTCAAGAAGAAATATAAAATCTCAACAGACCTATAACAAGTAAAAAGATTGAATAAGTAATGAAAACCTCCCCCAAAATAAAAATCCTGGACAAGAGGAGGAAACACTTCTTAACAGAATTACTCTGATAACAAAGCCAGATAAAGACATCACAAGAAAATTGCAGACCAA